AGAGAGAGAGAGAGAGAGAGAGAGAGAGAGAGAGAGAGAGAGAGAGAGAGAGAGAGAGAGAGAGAGAGAGAGAACTGCAAATGAACTCAATCTGCGATGCTGTACTATCACAGTGCACACATTGAGTACATGGTGTACGACAATGTCGTGATCATCAGACAGACAGACAGACAAACAAACACAGAGAGAGAGAGAGAAGGGGGAGGGGGGGGAGAGGGAGGAGAGGAGACAGATGCGGCAACGTTTGAAGCAAGGGAGAAGACCACGAGATAGAAGAGATAGTCCGCGCGTTACACATCCATCAATCGCAAATTTCCAAATGATGAAGCATCACGGTGCCGGCCCATCAATCGCAAAATTCCAAATGATGAAGCATCACGGTGCCGGCCCATATCAGACCACAATGTGTCGAAAACTCAAGTATCCCGTTGCTTACAAGTCCGAGCATGGCAGAAAAGGAGGGGCGAATCCGAGGGGGAAGGTGAGTCACTGAGAATGAGCCACATAGAAGGGCATTTGTGCAATGCTGGCGTCGATAATCCACAGCCAAATTGAGAACAACCCCAGTCACAGAGCTAGTCCCGCACCATAGAAGCTCCCCCGGTTTGCAACGAGCAGTGATTCAGGATGAGTCTGTCATATCCTCTCGAACATCCGTTAGAATTGGAACGATACAGAGAAGATTGATTAGCACGACCCTCCACAAGGATGACGCACATAAAAACAAAGAAAAGAAAAGGATGAGTTTGTCATATCCTTCCGGACATCCGTTAAAATTGGAACGATACAGAGAAGATTGATTAGCACGACCCTGCACAAGGATGACACAAATAAAAAACAAAGAAAAGAAAAGGATGAGTCTGTCATGAAAGAGGCTTGCATCCAATGAGGTGGGTGTAGTTGGTGCGACTTGGTGACGTAATTAATCCCATGGGCAATGAAGAGTAGCTTCTCTGGTATATGGCTGAATGGTACACACACGTAACTGTCGATAAACAGATCATCAATTCAAATCCATGCAATGATCAGCGTATTCAGTGCTACTCAAGCAAGCAAAGAAAATTCAAATATTTCCTAGCAGAGATTACCCCTGCAAGGACCTGCAAAATCTCAGACTGAGAACTCCACTGATACCTGAGCTTTGTTGCTGGAATGTGTGGCTTGCTGAGATTCCCGCTTTCTGCTGAGATTTCTAAGTGTGTGTGTGTGGGTGCTTGCTGGTTGCCGCGTGTTTGTCTGAGTGCATGATTGCTTGGGTGTGTGTGTGACCCGCCAGGGTACTTGTATGTTTGGAAAGCCCTCAGGCCTGGTACTTACCTGTGGCCGTGGCTTTGTGGGTTGCAGCGGGGTGTAACGGTAGGCTACGCCTGCATGGTTGGAAAACACTCAAGTAGTGGGTAGGTTAGGCCCACGTATGTAGGAAAATACTTGAGTAACGGGTAGGTACTAGGTAGGCAGAAAAGGACAAAACATTAGTACCTTTAGAGGCCGAGTGAATTTTAGGAGTCCGGTAGGCTTAGGTCTAGGGGTACCGGTCCACTAGTCTGAGTGTGGGGCCTGTAGCGGACAATATCAGACCTGCAATGATGTTTCCCTCCAAAAGGAGGAAGGTACCGGATGCTTGGGAGGCTGAGAGGCCTGGAAAGTAACCGCCCAAGAGGCAGCCGCTCGGTATAGCGAAGTGCTCCTCTGCATTTTGCGGTGTGCAAGTTTGGCGTCACACTGCTGGAGCAAGAGCTTGGCCAGTCCAGCGCTGGGGGGAGGAAGAAGCAGACCTGCCCCTCCATCTCCAGCTATGGTGAAGTGGATCAGGGAGGAGGAGGAAGAAGGTGGGCGAGGAGGAGAGTGACGGGGGTACTTACCTGTCTATGGTGGACCTCATGTGTTGCTGGCAGTAAGGAGGAGATTCGGAGATTGGTTCTGGTTCAGTCTTTTATTGTTATTGTTTATTGTATTGAAAAAAGAGGTTGGGGGAGATAAGGAGGTTGAAGGTGTGGCTAGTTGGAGGGGGGGTTGACATTGGTCTTTGCTGATGTGAATATTCTCCTTCCATTCATTATTCTTCTTCTTCCTTGTCTATTTCTCTTTCCAAGTTCTCTCATTTCTTTTTCTTTTTTTCTTTTTTTTTAAATAAAACAGAACCTTATGGCTCTGGCTCCTTTTCCATTCTGGAGAGCATCAGTCCGGATCCTATTCCACCGGCAAGTCAAAGGAAGTACATGAAAGACTCACACACGCACAACCCCTTTATGGTAGGGAAGGCCAAAGGCCGGCATTGATTACTTCTCGTCGGAAGGATGTACCAGCCCTCACTCCTGCCTAAGCTATCCTACTTTCTTGCATTTGGATGCTACCACCTGTGGACTTGCTTGGATGGGATTCGTCTCGCCTGTTCCTCTCAGCTCTTTGACTGCCTGATTAGCCTTTAGTACTAGAACTGCCGACTTGTCCCACCTCTTTGGGCTAACATGGCTCTATACCCTCTTTTTTCTAATGTCTACTATCTACGATTGCTTGTAGACCTTGACTTTTTTTTTTTTTTTTTAATTCCTCTTTAATCAGATCTATCTAATGCTAAAATTCTCAACCCTATCCAGTTTAGCTTGCCTGATAGCTACTTGTTAGAGCTCTCTGCTTGAGGTTTGTGACCCTTGTTCTGAATTTTCTCATTTTCGTAAATGCTAAAAAGTAGTGCTGTTATGGAGACTGCAAGTAGGGTGAAAGTGGTATTAGGCTGTTGGGTTGGGGAGAGTTTGTGTGTGTAGATTTAGGTTGGGGAGGTTGGGTGTCTTTTGCGTCGTCTTGTCTGGGTCGGGGAGTTCGGGATCAGGATGGTTTATTGAGCGGTAGTTGTGCTAGCAGTGAAACCAAAGTGAGGTGTTTATGTGGATTGTAGTGGGGTTGGGGTAGAGTGGTTTCTTTAGATGGAGAAGATGTCTGTGGGGGGTGGAGGTTTGGCGAACCGTCTGCTAGTACGGTTTGTGTTTAGCTGGTGTTCTTGTGTATTTTGCTGGGTTAGTCTCAATGGGGAGTGTTTATTTCGTTTGTGTGTCGTAGCCGTAGTTATCTGTAGTGGACTAGAAGGGATTGATCTGGATGCTGGTTGAGTGCAGTGTACTAATCAGAGTTTCTGATTCGGGATTGTTGGTTCGAGCTGGGTTGCTTAGCTATTTCTGCTCCGTGCCCTCTCTTAAACCCTAAACCCTAGGTTCACCTATTCGTCCGATGTATTGGGCTTGCTATTTTATCTTTCTGGGGGGGGCTTGGCCTTACTAGCTGCCCTCCTCTGGTCTGTGTTGTAGTTAAGGCCCAGACCTAACTCTGTTGAACGTGCTGCCGCCTTGCTTCCTGGCTCTTGTGGCTCCTAGGGATTTCTGCGCTAGGCTGTCTGTGCTATATGCTTGGAGTGTTGATGAGGATGAGGGGAATCAGGCTATGCGGTGTTTGTGAGGGGTGCAGGATATGTTGGGGAGTTGGGGGCACTAATCGGAGTTCATGGCTATGTTGGTGAGGTGAGATCAGCTGCTGCCTCTCCACGGACCAAATCTGATACAGTCCTTTTCTATTGTTGATATTTTCCCGTTTCCTAGTTGTTTTATTTTGAAATCCTCGATGATTTTGTCTTTATTTTCTATATTTTGCCTGATTTTTTTATAAGTTATTTTCCAACATCCTCTGTATTCCGTCTCTATAAGTTGCAGTGATACCTTCCAAGCTTCTTGGATCTGCATCTGCGAGTTGTCGATCGTTTCCTGACATCTGCGCTTCCAGATTGACCATAATGTGGCCAGCCTCAAGACCTGGAACAGCGAGTGTTCATAAGTTTGCCAACTGGGGGGAGCCTGGAATCCTAGGAGTACGGTGGCTGTCTCGTTTGGTATGGTTTTGCCAGTAATTGAGTGCCATAGTTCGGCTGCTCTGGCCCACAGATCCTTCGCTTTGGGACAAGTTAAGAGACAGTGGGTCACATTCTCTACTGCGCTCTGCTGGCATATGACACATAATTCTTGTAGAGTTGATCTCAACTGCGTGCTGCACCTTTTGTTTAGCCATTGATTGACTGGTAGGGCTAAGTAAGCTAGTCGCCATTGGAAACTTCTTATCCTAGTTGAGGTGATGGCCAGAAGTTTATTCCACGATCTGACATGAGTTTTGCGATGTGGTATGTTAAGGTGTATTTCCCATCTTCGACTAATGATATGTGCTATCGGGTGGGATCTCGTCCTTAGTCTATATCCTAATTTGGACGTGTACTCTAGGATGTTAGTTCTCTTTTCTATTGCGAGACTTCCTAATCTTCGTTTCCATGCCCATTCAGCTGGGTCGAATTCTAAGTCCTGTAAGTCTGTTGCAGGGCTATAGATTGTGCGTTTATCGTTTTCCACGACTCTAACCTTCCTGACAAAGTTCGCTGGGAGGGCTATCTCCCCTGCTGAGCTCTTCCTTAGTAAGCTTGGTGTCGAGCGCATCGGCTCCCGCCTTTTTTCGCAAAGGCGAGCGCCCTCCCGGCCATGTCACGCAGGAGTAAAACATAACCAAAACCAAGAGAAAACTCGAGAATAACACATAACAACCCTGCGAACCACCAAGCCGGTCGCAGCAGCGTCGTCCCTTCGCCACTCTAGCCGGGTGCGCCAGCTGTACATCCCGCGGTCCCCTACGACAGGATAGGTCCCCGCGGGGCACGTCTTGCTTTCCCTAAGGGGTTGTCACCACCCTTAGGGGCGTATCCCTACCGAGCTACTGACCCACGTGCGAAAGCTTTTAGATGCAATCGCAGAGGTAGATCAGTCGAGGGTGTTTGCTCCTTCGCTGTAGTATAGATACACTTGGTTAATGCCAAGCGAACCCGAACGTCGTCCGTTCCTTAGGGCGTTGATCTCCTAAGTATGGAACGAACGCCGGTCGACTAGGATGGTCTCAACCAAGCGTGAAACCACAAGGTAATCCTAGTCCCTTGACAGCTCTTTGAAAACAAAAACAATAGAATCAATATAGTTCACATCACGTTACACAAGATCGGTTTTTGACTTCATGAGTTGGTTCGCCGAAGCTATTCTACTCGGGCTATATGACTGAAACTCTTTATACCGCCATTTTCGAAGGCAGAAGCTCGCTATATAAAAAAGATTATGAAAGGTCTGAAAGGACCAATATTTGAGCTTCCGGTTCATTTTTTAACTTGGTCCTATCTACGAAAGATTTTTTTTTATTATTATTACCCTCGTAGAGTTTTATAAACATGACTCTATCATAGGGACACTCAACGTGGCACCTGAATATCATAAAAAGCGCATCTAGCCGAGTTAAAGTTGTCGGCCCTCGCGGGCCTCTGCTTCAATCTGGTCGAGTCGTGCAAGTTCCTCATCGTCAAAAGTCAAGGTGGTAATGCGTCCACCTTGCATGACTCGAACCATCCGCATACCATAGAGGGAAGTCATTCGTGAGGCTAGCCTCCAAACTATCGCGCGAAATGGCTGTCGCATTCGAAAAAGGTGCCTGGTTGTAGTGTCTTTAATCCGAATAACGTCGTAGCGATCCCCGGATAGGGTAATTTTAACACTCACAATGAGCCGAGAAAGGCATTGGAGGTTGCTCGCGCGATGAAAATATAAAGTATATCCATAAAATTCATTCGGAAGAGAGAGCTCTCCATGGAAGCAGATGAGATAAGTTAGGGACATAACCGGTCAAGATCACCTAGGTAGGGGGGGTTCAGTTGATAGAAAGGGTGTCTAGGTAGGCGGGTCTTCCTTGTCCGTATCCCCACCCAAAGCCTCCTGGACGGTCTCCAGTCCACTGCCCGTAAGTGGGGAGAGCTCGAGGTCCCCCACGGCGTCCACCCCGTCCAGCTCTACCTGTTGCATATATTTCTATCGTGCTTGTTTTTTTCAATTTGAAATGGTTGTAGTTGGGTAGGTTCCTTCTGAAGCTCATCTTTTTCTTTCAGTACAGCTTGGATAGGCTTGAGACCTTGGACTCCTCTTGGTGAGACCAAGTCACAGGCCTACCTGGAACCTTTTGGTACCCAGTGGGACATGGTCCAACAAGGAAGAGATCCCCTGGCCCCCTGGCCCAAAGTCTATAAGTGTTGCAAGCTTTCTCTGTTTTGCTGGAAGTCGGAGGCAGATGGGACACTCACTTTCGAGTGGATATTGACTAAGTTCCTTCTGCAAAACCTTTTTTCACTCAGTCCGTCGACTGGCTCACGACCGTGTACAGAAGTGTGAATGAAAGCGAGTCTGATTGCATTGGTATCAGAGCTGGTACCCGCTATTCCACGCGCATCGTTGTGTGTCGCAGGGAGAGTGATGCGCCATAGACGAAGTGGTTGACGAAAAAGAAGTCTGCCATAGCGGACACGGAGGTTGAAGAAGCCGCCGCGCGCACCTGCAGAGAAGACCACGACGAAGAAGGAGAGAGAGAGAGAGAGAGAGAGAGAGAGAGAGAGAGAGAGAGAGAGAGAGAGAGAGAGAGAGAGAGAGAG